CTGTATCTATGTGGTGGCAAGTCAGTGTTGGCTGATGCAATTAGTCATCTGATTCCAAAAATACGTTGGCATATTCAGCCAAGAAATCATTGAGTTTCTGTCAATGTATTGAATACAAATTACATGCATATCAACAGTAACCTCAGATGTGCTGACAGCCATGTGTGACAGAAGCAACATTAGTGAATTCACTAGTCTCGTTATCTTACATACAATTGCTTGTTTTTCAAATTCCAGCAGGAGCCTGAATAGCCAACTGTCAATAACTACAGAGTAACACTGGGTCTATCTAACTGGTTGAACTAATGTATTTTGCTTTCTGGACAGGAAAGCCTGCATTTCATGTGTCAGTTCCATTACCACATTACACAGCAATGTTGTACTAGACTTTGTCTATACTATGCCATTGAAAATCATTGTATATTCAGAGGTACACAAACTCCTTCTCAAAAAAATAGTTATGCAGTCTATTGCCCTTGGGTTTGATAGGGTTGGCATTGGATAACTCTTCCACCTATTTGATCACCAGTTGACAGACAAAAATCAGTATTACCTGACCAGGATGGTGACTCAACTCGAAGTACTTGATAGTGAGATCAACTAGTGTTCTGGCAACTCCTGTATCAACCAGGAATTCCACCTCTCAAACATGTATCTCTACTAGCACATATCAAGCACCATTTCGTCCTGTAAAATCCAGGTTGACCACCAAACCTTGTAATGCAGGCCAACTGTTGCAATACTTAGTTGATAGCCACAACTGATTTGGGCTCCATTAGTTTCATGGAATTGGAACAGTGGCAATTACAGCCTATTGACGACCCTCCTATATAGGCTGAGCAGTTGGGCAGAAAAAAGGACTTTTGAATGTTTTTTTTGTGGAGCAAGGTATGAGCAGTTCATTCTGAAGTGACCCATTAACCTACAACCAAATCATTTGCTTTGGTTCTCTTTCCAGAGTGGCATCTGGGTTGATGCATCAATGGTATTTGATGTGGCACAACATCATGGAAGGCCAGGAAAGTTTTGTCCTCTCATTGATATTCCATGGGCTTTACTGCGTCAGGACGTATCAGTGGTTGATCCACCTTCAAAGAATCAAGAGCTTAGTGCAAAGCAGGCACTACAGAAAGGCAATTTTAATGAGACACAGACACCAAATCTATTGCTACAGGCTTCTTCATTTCTTGCAACCTGTTTGAAGTTACAGTCCCTAACCTAGTAGTCACAGGTACTGCCTCAATCAGGGTGAGAATGTTTCTCATACTGAGGTGATGTCACGTCATCTTGCTTGGTAGTACTTTGATATCTTGTCTACAGGGATAACCTTTTGACCTGATTATTCAATTGCGTAGATTATTTCC